GGAAGTGGAACTGCCAATGAGAAGAGGACAACGCCTTGCGTGCACAATGACACTCTGTTACGCTCAAATATACTGGGTCAGGGAAAGGACAGGAGGTCAGACTTCGTGAACTGACACACCTTTGTTGTTCGTCAGGGACGTGAAGTTGAGACCCAGAGCTCTGTAATTTTATTCCTTTACTGCTTAATAAACTACATTAACTGAGACCGAATATCTTCTCCTATTGCTTCATTAAAGAACACGCAGGACTGAGCTCACACATAGCACATTAGAGAGTAGGATGAGACTCTTAGTCCAACAATATAAATATATATATATATATATATATTCACACACACACGTATTATAGTATATATGTAAAAGTGCATTAAGTATATTAATAATGATATTAATAATAATAATCTACCAGTGCATTTGTGTTTTGTAAGTTATAAACTAAACTAAACTTAATTAGTTTATCTAATTTTACAAGCTTCTGCTGATAATTCCATGTGTGGTGTAAAGTATTTAAGAGGTCTCGGTATTAACATGATGATTTTCTCTTTAATAATCTTGGGACCTGCAGCAGTGCGAACATCTTGTGTAGTTTAAAATACGTGAGATACTCAGGTGGTTTTCCAAGAACTGCTTTGTAAATAAATCAAACTCAGCACATGAATCTGAGACTTTTTGCATGACAAACCGCCATTTTACTGAGGGTCACCTGCTGGACGGACCACTTCCGGGCGGGAGTAACCATAGTAACATCCCCGGAGTCTCCACTGGTTGCCTAGCAACTGCCCCCTCGACCCAAAATGGTGGCTTGTCATATTAATGCTTCGGTTTTTATACAGATGAAATTAATGTAACCATAAAACACGTTAAGAAGTGAACTTTAGAGGTGCTGGTAGGTGGATATTTTTTGTTACTAACATACAAGCCTCCATGTTTTAAGACAAACTAACTAATGTCACTGTGCGAAGGTGAGTGGTATAAATGTTCTCATGTAATGTTAGCCGCTAGCTAGGCTATATAATGCTAACATTAGCTAGCAAAGTAACTATCTACAAGAGAGCCAAAAAACATAATTCGAAAAATGTCAAACTTTGTTTAAAAGTGAAGCAAATATTTTTCAGATTAGAAATCAATCTTGTGACAAAATTCACTGGTGGAATAGAAAGTAGCCATTATTAAAGATAACTTTAGCATTAATGCTAACTTAATTATCACTGTACTTTGATGTGCTTGTAACGTTACTTTACTGGAGTGTTTCCTATTTTGAGGCTACTTAAAACTTCAACTCCACATTCTGGAGGCCACTGTCAGACTTTTAATCCACTTAAATTGAATTTAACGTTAATTTACAACACAACTTTCTACTTATGTTTTAGATTGAGACTTTTTTTTTTTGTTTTGTTTTAGACTGAGATTATATTAAATGCTGTGTTCTTAAACATTTAGGGATAAATTAGGCAGGTTTACACTTTTTCATACTCTTATTCCTTCTTCTTACTTATAATAAACGATTCTTTTCATCAGAGTGACTGTAACAAGTCACAGTTTTACATGGGGGATCAAGTAAGTATTTTCTGATTCTGACACACAGTAGTGCATCACGAATTCTAGTGATATTTTGTATAATGAGTACTTTTACTCACTTTTACTTAAATTTGTGAGTATTTTATCACAGTGGTATTACCTCTTTTACTTCCACTACTTACTTTTACTTTCTTTTAAGCTTTTAACCGTATTACACGGTTTCAGTGGTTGAAAGATGAGGGGAGACCTTATGTTTTCACGAGATTGATTGTAATTGTCAAAAACTGGTATAAACTGCCCGACCGTGAGGTATCGCTAACATTTCCGACGGCAGTGAATGCATCACCAGCTCCACAGAGTAGCGACAGGGAAGTGGATGACACAGTTTCCGTATCAAACCCGTCCAAACAACGGTCCTACCATGGCAACAGCGAGAATTTGTGTCCTGTTTGTTGTCCTGTCTTCGACTTTAGCAGAAGACTTAAAATTAAAATACAAAACTCCCACTGAACCTGTCCGATTATTCACTGAGGAGGAGCTGAAGAGATACGACGGCAGCGAGGTAAACTTTATTGTAACTCTGAATCCAGGTTGAGTTTTTGTTCCTGTTTTAGTCTGTGCATCCACACACACGTGTACTGATAAAGATTTATCTGTCTTTTTCCGTTGTTTCTCTCCTCCCTGTTGTAGGAGGGACAGCCCATTTACATGGCAGTAAAAGGAGTTGTGTTTGATGTCACCAAGGGAAAAGGTAGCTATAAAACCCAACTTAATCCCTGGAAATTAAACTGTAATGATTTATAAGATAAAACATGACTCTGTCAGGGTGTCTGCATGTCCTTAGAAGTCAGTAAATAGACTTAAATTTGAATATGTGAGGTCTGAACTGCTTTAAACATTTTATTCAATTTTGTTTATCCATTTTTAAATTTCTTTGTAGTCTTATATGTAAAAGTCCACATTTCTAATGTTACAAATCTTGAAAAAAAAACCTCTCAGTACTCTCATTTTACTTCATACTTGCACTTACTTGTTGGCAAAATGTAGATTGACGTAACTCACTCTAATGACCATATTCTTACATAACACTTACCTTGCACAAGACCACATTCATACTACTTGCCTGCAGTGCTTACCTGTGATGCTTAAACAAGTAAAACTTGATTTGTCCTAAAATCTGTTGTAAATTTGGTTAAAGGTGTCTTGAATAGGTTTTAAAAAACATTAAATTTAACTGTCTGATACCCGTAGACATACTGAGAAAACTGGGAAACTGGGAAAACTTATTCTTATGTTGCATTTGTTTTGAGTTGGTTTTATTTTGCTGATTGCATATTGCAGAGTTTTATGGAAAAGATGCACCATACAACGCCCTGGTTGGTAAGGATTCCACTCGGGCTGTGGCTAAGATGTCCCTGGACCCAGCAGACCTGACATCAGATACTGTAAGTTCAGTCTCAAAGGCTGAAATTGTGATTGTTGTGGGGAGTTGTAGGTGGGGAGGTATTCTTGTATGAAATTGTATGATGACAGGAAAATCATCCTGGGAACCCCAACCCCCCCCCCAGTCGCCCTTCTGGGACAAATAAGAGTGGAAAGAAACAAAGAACAGACATCTGACACCTGAGTGTTGGCTTCAAAACAGCATATAGCATTCATGAGCTATATAATTATAGATTTAACAGTTTCGTCTGAATGCACCATACTCGCAGGTTTTTCAGTCATTCTGCATTTCCAGCAGTATTTTTGCACAATGTAGACTTTTTAAAGCAATAAATAATATTTTTCAATAAAATTAATTGTGTGGAGACCCGAAACTAAACTTTCCATATGGGGGACACTGAGACTGGACCACAGACTGTTAAAGTAATGGACAAAGCTACAGTGACGTCACCCATTGGTTTGCGGACTCCTGTTTTGAAGCCTCAAGTTCGGCACTTTGGCTGTCACCATCTTGGTTTTTTGGAGCCAGAAGCGACCATATTTGAGTGAGATGCCGGAGGAGCGAGGGGTTGATCTATCAGCACTATCAGCAGACAGCCTGTCTTTCAAAGTGCCCTGCCCTTAATTAAGTGTAACTTTAATCCTTAATGAAATATAAACAGGTTGAGTTATATGAAAAACAATTTCAAAGAACTAGTTACAGCAAAAGTTGACTGTTGCATTGTCTCACGTCTATCGTGTCTTGGCCAAAAAGTTGCACACAAATACACTGCAAAGCCGATGGCCAAACAGCACGTACTTTCAGCCCCTGTGCGACAGGAAACAACTCTCCACACCAGCAGATGTAGGTCGTCTGTCGCCTTTTTATAGCCGATTCAGCATGTTGAAGCAGCGTTGGTGTCAGCGGAGCTCGTCGTCGGTGAATAAAATCACTTATTGGCAGTTCAGCTCAGGTCACAAGAAGAAAAACAGAAGTGAGGAAAGTAAACTAAGAGCTAAAGTCAAGAGGGAGTGAGACCAGAACAAACTTTCATCTTTGGCTACCTTAATGTACTTTTGTAGACTTGCTGTAAATATAAATATAATTACCTCAAATGGCTTCACAATCTGTACATCATGTGACAAGTGCCACATAAAGTTCTTGTTTTCCATCTTTACATTTACAGACGGGCCTCAGTGAAGAGCAGCTGGAGTCTCTGGACAGTATATTTGAAGGCACGTACAAAACAAAGTATCCCATTGTGGGTTACACGGCATCACGCATCCTCAACGAGGACGGAAGTCCCAACAAAGCCTTCAAACCCGAGGACCAGCCTCATTTTCAAATCAAAGATGAGTTTTAATCTCATTTTACCTCTTTTCTCTTTACTTGTGAGAATCAGAGCTGAATATGCCAGGGTGCAATACATGTACAAGAGAAGAAGAAAATACACAATAGAAACTTTTTATTCATATTCATTACCTGAACTGAAGGTTTACATGATCTGTTGAGAGCTTTAGCTGCACAATTACTTTGAAATCATTTCAACACGTATGGTATGTTTTTTCTAAAAATACATTTCATGAAAATTAGTGATAGTACAATATCAGATTTTCACCACGATTATAATGGCCGTAAAAGTTCATGATAACAATATTATTGTTATACCTATAAAAAATGAAATAATAATGCTATCAGTCAAATTCATCTTTATTCTGTTTTGATTGGTAAATGAATTACAGTCAAAATACAAGTGTAGAGATGTTAAAGACTCTCTCCACCTCTATACATAGCTGCACAAAAAACAAGGCAACCCTATGGTGTTGAAAGAAATAGAAATGATTTAAGAGGCGCTGGTTATTTACACGATATTTTCACGTGTGTTATTAACAGGACGTCAGTCATTCCTTTTAAAATATCTTGGTTATTATCAGTACCTGTATATCACAATACATGTAGTCATGATTAAAATAAGGCTGTTTGATAAACATTTGGGAGGAAAATGATGCTGACTTTTAAAGATCCCACCCAGACACTTTCTAAGAAATATAAAAAAAATACTGTTTGGAAGACAGATTTTTTTCACCTAAAGGTTCAGGGGAAGAATGAGAAAACATCTTTTTAGTGTCAAACTGAATATGTGTTATTCTGCACAGTGAAGCTCAAACTTCAAAAATAAAAATAAGTAAAACACATTTTTAAATGAGGGGGACTTAAATTTTATGTGTGGTCACAGTGATCATCTTCTACCTATGTCAGAGCAATTAGAACAAATGAATGCACAGAAACATTTTATTGGCTTCACAGAAAGACATCTAATGGCCAAATTAAACTACGCGTGTAATGGATTCAGAGTTATGGCAGTCAAAAAAAAAAAAATCAGCTGTTTCATATGAATATTCGACAATTCAAGTTTTTTTCCCCTGTGAACTTTAAAGTTTGAACAGGACTCAGCAGGCCGCACAGTATGGCAGCAGCATTCATGTAATACAGTAAACAAGCTAATGGTGCTAATGATGGATTGGAAATGTGCAATATGATTTTTTGTGTCACTTGAATCAAACAAAAGCCGGAGACTTTGTCATATTAAGTAACTGTGAGCTATAAATTCACCACTTCCAAGCAGAAGAGAGATGATAATGTTATCTCAGTGCCTTATGGTGCAGAGTCTCTCTTCCTCTGTGCTGCTGCATCTTGTTCACAACTGTCTGTACCAAAGAGTATCGTGAAGTCAAGAGTGCTCCCTGTGCTGCAAAACCGTGGGCCAAAATATCCCCAGAAGTTCACTGCACAGCACACTGACTAGCCAAAAAAAAAGGCCACAAAAAAACCTGCAGGCTCGACTTGAAGCAATCTCAGTCGACTGAGTGTAGGGCTGCACGGTATATGCGGTAGACAGTAAAAATGATATAAATTTGGCCCACGGTAGAGATTTGCGCTCTACCGTCCTATCGTCGATGACGTCATCGCACCTGCCTCAGTGTGAAAATGGCTGTGAGCACAGAGACAACGGAGCAAGAGGAGCTGGTTCACGTCTGTGATTTAGCGTAGCACGTGCAACATGTGTTGCTGGAGAACTTGTGAGTGAGTGAGTTAATGTTTTATGAACAGCCCCGGACTTCTCAGACTCTTTTAGCAACTTACCGCTCAGAGGGAACTCATTCAGTGTCTCCTCTGGCAGCAGCACAGCGTCTCTCCCTCTCCTCTCTCGCCGTGCGCACACGGGAGTTGGTTTTCGGCAAGAGAGTTTGTCATAAACCTTTGGTAATGTAAACCTATGTGACGCTAGGGGCTCCACAAAAAACTCCATATGTGAATGTGTGATAGTTGTGGTATCATAACAGCCTGTCACAGGTTACAGCGTGATGATTAGAGGAGAAATGGCAGAGCATAAAGGTCCAGGTGGAAAAACACAACTCAGTCATTTAGGAATTTGCTAAAAGAAGGAAATTACCTTTTGATATAGATCCCAGGGGACATTTTGCACCATAGAATACTGGGTTTTAATTTTGAGTTTTGAGATCTGCATTCTGCACAATAAATGCTCTAAAAAATACATTATATCTTTGCTTTTGTTGTTGTTGTTTTTTTTATCAATTTAGCTTTGCTAAGGGACTACAAAACCCATTCAGAAACACTTCTATTATAACTTTTACACTTAAATTTATACCGCAATATATACCGTTACCGTGAAGGGATTCGATTTATACCGTGATATAAATTTTAGGTCATACCGCCCAGCCCTAACTGAGTGGTTTCCAACTGATGAGTTGCACCTCAGACTTTGAAGGGGCGGCTCTAGATTAAATATTATCTATGTATTTAGACAGAGGGAGTGAGCTGACAGACCAGATGAGATAAACTAAGAAAACATGAGATTTTAATATGGCTGTCACTAGCAATAATTGTTATCACTGATAGGAAGGATTTTTTTAATTGTTTAGTTTATTTGCAAAGGTAGTGAAAAATGCCCAGCTCCGACTCCCAGACCTCACGGTAATGCCTTCACATATTTTATCCAAACCCCCAAATATTAAATTAACATTGGTTTAGGGACTGTCCTTTATTTATTAGAGGAGGAGGAGGTTGCAGTGACTTTTTTTAGCCTCCCTGAGTGACTGACAGAAAATCCACGACTCTCCCTCCACCATAAATTAGTTATTAGATTTTTAGAACTTAAGCTTTGATGTTTGAAATTTAAAAGCTGAAGATGAAATCCTGCAGTTAAAAAAAGTCTCAGTTTTTCACACCTGTCGTGCAAATGGTTAATTTTTGGGCAACTTTTAAATGAGTAGACTTAAGAGATATTGATTAACTAACACTATTTTAAGCTCAGATAATGTATGTAATGTATTTTTTTTCTGATGGAAATGTTGGTCGCAGGTGATGTGTCCAAGGACCATTGGAAATTTAAAGATCCAACAATAATTTCCGTTTTTACAGTTTCTGGCTGTGATAAATGGTGTAATTTTGGTGATTTTGTTTTTTAAGAAAACATGCCCTCCAAACCCATAAATACAAAATACAACCATTTAAAGTTGCATGCCCCTCCCCAAGCCAAAATAAAAAACAAAAAGTCCCTCCCCAGTGCTTAAAATATTATTTGACATGTCTGCCTCTTTTTGCACCGCCCCCTCCTGCCTCATAAATACCGAACAGTCTGTTAGTGTGGGAAAAAAAGATGAAAGATGAGAAGCTGAAGCCAAAAAATATTTGGATTTGTTGCTTGATAAATGATGAATTATTATCAGAATTGTTGCAGATTAATTTTCTGTCTATTAACTATTCCATTAGTTGCTATATCTCTAGATTTTAGTACAAAATGTTGTCGTTAAATGCACTGATTTTTGGAGTATTTGATTAAAAACTACTGAACCTGCAGCTCTGTGAATGTTTACATGATCAGAATCAGTCCATTTTCTTTCTACCTGATTTTGTTTTTGTACAATTATTATTAAAGTCTGTAAAACTTCTTAAGAGTTTGTTTCACTTGAGTTTTACCACAAGCTTCGTGGAGATGTTATCTTGATGTGCTCTGTTTATGACAGCTCATGACTCACTCATGTCACCTCCAAACAGGCAGCATAAATAGTACGTGCGGGCCTATATAGCCTCGCACACTCCGATCAAAGGTCATCAGTTCCGGTGCTGAGACAGGTGATTGTCTTTAGGTGGAGCTGTGCTTCTCGCTCTGCCGGGTGGTCACACTGGAGGTGAGTCTGTGTAATAGTAATCACTGTGAGCCTCCTACGTCACTGTGGGCGATCCACAGCCGAGTTCAAAGGACACAAGCCCTTCCCTTGCGTTAGCCAGCAAGAGCCGAGCGGCGTTCTTTATCAGGTGGAGATTCTGCTGAGAGTCGGCCACTGCAGCCTCGCTCAGCCTGGGAAACACTTTCTTCTGCTGGAGCTCATCCACCAACCAGAGCCAAGATGCCCAAAACAGTAAGACTCGCCTAATTTTGTTTCCAAGATGCGTCTCTGAAATGCCTCTTCCAAGTTTGAGAGGGCGGTGGTGGGTTTATAGATTCATCTGTTGATATGTTTATCTGTGGAGAAAACCCACTGAGCATAAAACAAATTTAAGCACGAGTCATGTTTATTTTAATAGTTTTAGTCACATCTTTTTATCTGAGCTGAGGCTTGTGAGTTATTTCCAAGAGGCACCTTTCCTTCTTGGCATTTACTCATTAACCAAATGTAGAGTTTGACCCATGCTGCACACATTCCTGGCTGAAACAATGCCACTAAAATGTAAATGCATTTCATGGCCAGAACAATGCCGTATGTTTTCTGTGTGGTCGTGCATACTTGATAATGTCATATCGTTTATGACACTGGAGTGATTTTGTAAATGACAGGAGTGACTTTCACCCACAGCTCATAAATGTATGATTTAACTGCTTCATTCTCCCTGTCTTGATTTTGTAAGATGTTTAGCAATAATCTGTTTTCCATCCATAACAAGAGGAACCTGTGTGCATTTAATTGCTGTAAAATCTAAACGCCCTCAGTAAGAGTTACTTAAGTGTTCAGCATCAGTCTGTTGGAGAACTGATAAGAAAGGCCGGCAGTTGTATTACGACTGCAGCTCTTTGCTTATATTGACTCTCCAAGGAGAAAGCCTCTCATAAGAGGTCACACTGACGTCTGCCTCCATTTGACTGACGATAACTTCAAATCAAATTTATGAGCCATGGTAGCAGGTAATGCTTGGGTTGCTCTGTAAAATGCTGAAAATGTGATTCATGAGTTAAATTCTGAACATTTAAATAGGAAAGTGGAAGTTCTGTGGATACTAAAGAGTACAATCCCAGTAAAAAAAAATCAACAACAACATGCTGATTGATTGTTGTTGGATTGCTGCTTCCATGATGGTGATTTCAGTGATCTGAGAAAAGGTCAGAGTGGTAGGAATGCATCAGTGGGACTTGAGGGCGTTACAAAGTAATCATAGTGATCATGGAAAATGGAAACAGTTGAGAAACATGGCGGAGGTTTCATAAATGGATGTTCTAGTTTTTGTTGCCCAAGTTTCAGTGGGTTTATCTTTATGACACCTGGGGTGTGCACTAGTGTAACTTCATAAAATGATTGTGTAACTGCTACAAGCCCAATTCGGCCTGCAGGCCAGGGTCACGCAGTCATCGTGTGTTTGTGGTGTTGTCTTTGGAAAAAAATGAGAATAAGTTTTTTTCTCTTCAGGGAAATTCATTCTTGGAACTCTTAAAAGTCCGACTTGTTCCAGTTTAATCACTGTTATTATAAATGTGGTTGATCTCATTAACAATGGTAAAGTCTAAAGGCAACTTGGCAGGCAGTGAGTATTTTGATATTTTAATCTGCGTATGTTCAACCTTGTGGCACCTCGCAAGGGTAGTCCAAAGTCTAATGAGATAGTGAGCAATTATGGTTTATGAACAATCCACTTCACAGCTCCACATTAAAACCATTCTCCACACAACTGACTTCGTTATTTCTGTCTTTTACTATGAAAAAAGTTGTTTCATAAAGTGACTGTCAAAAGCAAATGTGCAGGAAAAAGAAGCTATATTTTTTGCAGAATTACAGATGTGTGTGCAGGAAAAGAATGAAAAATGCAGGACTGATGGATTCAGATTTAAATCAAATAAAACAGTTTAACAATTGAGTGGAAATAAGAGGTTTATGTGATCAAAACTGAAAAATCCACATGACTAAATGACTTTTTGGTTGTTTTTTTTTGCTTTAGGTCAATGTCCGCGTCACCACAATGGACGCAGAGCTGGAGTTTTCCTTCCACCCCAACACCACAGGGAAGCAGCTCTTTGACCAGGTCTGTATGTGACCCTCAAATTAAAAAGTCCTCAGATAGAGCTTGCCTGGACAGCTGATGGCACTCGGCTTGTGGTGCTCAAAGTGCCAAAA